AAAAAAAAATAAATAAAAAATAAAGTCGTGTCAAGACCGTGCCTTCGGCCTGGACATGATAACTAGTACTCACGAATCAAAAACTAGCCTTTTATATGCGCGTCGAGACGCTGAAGGGTCCGATTACGAGGTTAATGAAACAGCAACAAACCCAGTCTTTATTGGATAATTTCAACCTGTGACTGGAACCTGTAGCTCGATAGAGTTGGCTCGATAATAATCTTAACACTGAAAGCTAGACCGAGTCAAATTGCAAATTGTTTCCCAAGTCCATAGACGGATAATACACGGATGCAAATGACATTCCATCAGTCTTTTCTATATTGCACAAGAATTTACATAACCTCGCGTTCTCCACGTCAATGTGATCATTAAGCATAATGCGCATGCAAGTTTTAGTGGACACTCTTTCAAAGCAAATTGTCAGAAATTGTGGAGCGGGTCGGAAAGGAGGGAAGCTGGACTATCTAGCAATAAATTATCACTGATAACAGTTAGAATCTACTTTCTAAATTGTAGTATTTTCGATATGTAATCTTATTGTTTTTTATTTATTTTTATTCATGCCAGAATAAATTTCGAAGATGTGTCGACGGTTTCCTACAACAACCGATGTTTTACAGTGGTCCATGGCAGTGGTGCACAGGCACAGCGCGTCACGTACAAATTGAAGAACGAATCAGATGCCGTCGCTTTATTTCGAACTTTCACGGAATTCCACACGTTTTATCAATGTAATACCGTGAAGCGTTCAGTCGTGGATCAGTGCACCCGAACACTGATGGGCCGTCTCGTCTCCGTCATTCTGCCTTCCAATGACTTTGGCAAAACGTATTTATTCGACGTCCAACGGACTCGCAGGCAGGCCTACAGTCATGCATGGAACGAAATGAACTCATTTCGCCATAGCAACATGTCACGTGTACCCGGTGGTGTGAGTCGAGTTGGTTATTCGCTTTCCGAATATCGCCCGGTCCAGTCTCCATTGAGTTGTCGAAAATGCCTTGGATCGCGTCGTAAAACCACTGTCGATTTGGAGGATACAAAAGATCTCACTGATTTCGACATTGAAGCCATGCAACCCGACGAACTGAAAAAAGTTGTTCGACACATGCAAGACGCGCGAATTTGCCAGATTTGTATGGATGCCGAAGTTGCTACTGCCTTTTGCCCATGTGGTCACGTGGTTTGTTGTGTAGAGTGCTCGGCCATGTGTAAGGAATGCCCACTATGTAGGAGTCAAATTACGTACGCTCAAAGAGTGTTTTTTCCATGTCAGTAAAATCTCGATAAATTGTGGAATTTGATCACTTGATTTACAGAACAAGCATCTCTAAATACATAAAGTAACTGGAACAATTTCTAATATATTTAAGTGCGCTGCAAATAAAATGATATCAATATTATTTATATAAAATACCAAGAAAAAATTGAAAAACAGTCATTTAGAATTTGATAGCATTTTAAAAAGCGTAATTTTGAAGTAAAAAAGTCATCGTTASATTGATTGTCCATGGATAAGCGAATGGATTAAGGCTCGTCGAAGGTCCTTCGCTCGATAAATTAGTAGGAATTAGTCGGACTTTAACTGTTGAATGGAAACAAATCACAGCGGCACATCACGTGTTACTCCCGCACTACATTKTTTTAGTGCTTTACACCAATCARCATAGYAATAGAGTGCACTATGTTCATGAGTAGCGTCTAAACAGTTCATACTTAATAGTTCTCTAATGGAACAATCAGKTACTGTTAGTATCTTCCTTGATGCCTGGCGCACACAACAGAGACAACGACTGGGGATTTCGAGTCAGCAGTCTTAACATCTTTGAATTGAACAAAAAACTCCCGTCATGGATATATTTTATTTGTAGTACTCTATGTGACTTCAATTTCTTGCTTGATAATTCGTTAGCGATGACTGCATGGGACGACTGGGGCTTGAAATCGGCATAGTGAGATAAGAACGACAACATTGTGGTATACAAACTGATCCCAAAATTTGGTATGAAGATAAGATCACATAGTAATTACTGATTCTGCCGGAAAACCAGACAATACTGTACATACACTTTGATTTCTTTGAAAGCCAAGCAG